CAGGGGTTTATCTATTTTATTTATTTTTTCAATGAACCAACTTTTTTATTTGTCCATTTTTTCAATTGTTTCTTTTGTTTTAATTTCATTAATTTCAGCTCTGATTTTAATGATTTCCTGTCTTCTACTGCTTTTGGTGTTGATTTGTTCTTTTTTTTTTCCCTAGGGCTTTAAGATGTAGTGTTAGGTCATTTATTTGTTAACTTTTTATTCTTTAAATGAATGCACTCATTGCAATGAACTTTCTTCTTAGTACTGCCTTCATAGTGTCCCAGAGATATGTTTTGATGTGTTGTATCAGTGTTCTCATTTACCTCTAAGATTTTTTATTTGATCCTTGATTTCTTCTATTGTCCGTTCATCATGCAATAGTGTATTATTTAATCTCCGTTTGTTAGAGTAGCTTCTATTTTTTATTTTATCATTGATTTCTAATTTCTTTCCATTGTGAACTGATAGAATGCAGGGTATTATCTCTGTTTTTTTTTTTTTTTTTTGTATTTACTAAGAGTTGTTTTGTGGCATAGATATGGTGTATTTTAGAGTAGTAGTCATGTACTGATGAGAAGAAAATATATTTGCTCATTGATGGAAGAAATATTCTATCTATGCCTGTTAAGTCTAAATTATTGATTGTGTTACTCAGTTCTATATTTTCTTGATTTTTGTTTAGAAGATCTGTCCAATAGTGAGAGAGTGTATTAAAGTCACCCATTATTATTGTGTTGTGTTCTTTTTGATTCTAGAAATTGAGGAGGGATTTTTTGATGCACATAGATGCTCATTGTTTGGGGAGCATCTATATTCATCAAACAAACAAAAATATTTATAATTGTTATGTCTTGCTGATATATACTTCCCTTAAGAAATATGAAATGTTCTTCTTTGTCTCTTCTGGTTAACTTTGGCTTGAAGTCTACTTTATCTGAGATGAGGATGGAAACCTCTGCTATGACAGGCACTCTTTATTTGGATATTTCATTAAACTTTTTAACCCAAGGAGAAAGGTATCCTTATTATAATTTTATAGATGAAAAAACCGAGGAAGAGTAAAGGACCTTGATATAGGTTGTACAGCTAGTTAGCAGTGATAGTAGGGATTTAAACCTGGGTTTGACAAGAGTTAGAGACCACACACTGTGCAGAAAAAAATGTGACTCAATGGAAAACTATGCATTGTGTACCATCTATAGAACACCCTTCTGGGTTATCTGAATCTGGGAAATATTTTACAACCATGTAAATTGTAAATAACTGATAATAATGGAAATAATAATTGTTTATAAAGTTGCAAATTATGTCCTGTGCAGTAGGAGTCCAATAGACTTCCCTTTCTCACTTCCACCCCTATTGAAAAAGTTTTTACCTCCATTTGCACATTCATTTTAATTTTCCTTATCTATTAATGTGTTTGTTCTTCGCAGTTTCTTTTTAACCGGTAATCTCATCTGCCTTATTCTTTCATGATTAAATAAAATATGTAACATGTGTTTAATATCTGTATGAGTCATGTTTTTACTTTTTTTCACGAAAAATTTTTATTGGTTTTCCAGAGATGCCCAAAGGACTAAACAAAGCCAGGTAAACTTTCTAAAAAGAGATGTGCATCTCATGGGCAGTTTAAAAACTGTTAGGTGTGGTGACACATGCCACAGCAGTTTGGGAGACTGAGACAGGAGGATTATGAGTGCAAAGACAGCCTCAGAAACTTGGCAAGGCCTTATGTAACTCAGTGAGACCCTGTCTCTAAATATAATATAAAAAAAGGGCTGGGGGGATGTGGCTCAGTGGTTAAACAACTTTATCTTGATTTATAATTTTCTTCTCTTCTAGTTTTGTGTTTTGTATTTTGGTGTGGTTTTGGTTTATTTATAGTTGATAAGGTATATCCCATTGGTGGTAACAATTATTGGGAATTTGGTTTTACAGACTATATATTGGAATTTTGGGTTTTCTAATCTCATCAATGTTTTCTATAAGTGGGTTAATAGTTTACAGGCATTTATTCTCTGTTCAGTGAGAACAGAGAATCTTAATTGTGGTTGTTATTTATGTTTGTTTTGCTTACTTGTCCACTTTGAGCTAAAATCATTAGTAAGAAGGGCTCTTTAATATCTGTACTAGTAACTCACTCTCTTTCTTCCTTCCTTCATTCCCTCTTTTCTTCCTTTCATTTTTCCTTTTTCTTTCTTTCTTTTATAATGAAGAGTTCAACACTGTGGTGCTTTATCACTGAGCTAAATACTGAGGCATCCTCAACCTTCTTTATTTTTTTAAAAAATTTTGAGACAGAGTCTCACCAAATTGTTGAGGTTGGCCTTGAACATGTGAGTCCTGCCTCAGCCTCACATGTTGCTAGGATCATAGATATGTGCCATAGCACCTGGCTGGACTGATAAAATTTTGTGCTGAAATTTTAGAATTGAAGCTATAAACCCTCTTTATGTGTCTTTATCCAGGTGCCTGTAATTCATAAAGTTCTTGACCTCTCATTATGTATGTGATATTTCTACCTCCATATGATGTTAATAAATTCTATCACTTTAATACAATAAGTGAAAGCAATTAATTTTGCCTAAAAATAAATTATATCATAAAGTCCCTTAAATTAAAGGATTTCTATTTTGTATAGCCGATAGAGAAAAATAGAACTTAGGTAAAATGAATATTTCTAAGATTCCAAGAAATTAAGGAAATTGAGTATTTAAAAATTTCCATGTGGTAAAAATATTATTCTTGAGGAAACTGACTTAGAAATGTTTTACAAATCAAGGTTTTCATATTTTAGGTGAAATTTAGCAAATGAGAGCAATCTACAATTGTAGCTTTATGAAAATAGTTGTTTTCTTCTCTGAATGTCAGTGTTAAGTAAAATATAAGAAAACAGTTTTTATTATGCTTGGATATGTTTTTTCCTCAACTTATACAGGTTTACTGACAATTAAGCTAGCAGTATTTCTACTTGCTGTTAAGATTACGAAAAATTGTAAAATGTTCATTTAAACAAATCAAATCATTATTCTGGTAAGCTTCATTTCAGCACCCTGCTTTAGGGTATATCAACTTGGAGATAATTTTCAAGACCTCTAAGCAACTTAAAATCTTGTACTGGTTAAAAAGAATATCTTGGACATATAGTGAATTCAGTTAATTCACTGGATGTCTACATCAAATCTAAATAAAATGAAACTGATGACTAAGCAGAAATTTATATTTATATATTTTCACTTCATATTTTTATAGATGAAGTATGTCTTTCGGTCATAGTAATATGTTCATTTTTTGCAACATTGAAAGGGTATATGTGGAATGTGTATGGCTATAAAAGTTGTATGTGTGTCCAAAAGCTCTCCTAAGCACTAAATGCTGATGCATAGTAGGAAATTCTCAATTACCCATCCCTAGTTTTATGTGAATAAATATTACTGAGCTGGGGATGTGCAGTTCAGTGATAGATCATTTGCCTATCATGCACAAGTCCCTGGGTCCAATCCTCAGGCCTGAAAAAAAGAAAGAAAAAAAGGAAAGCCAAGAGCTGTTGTAGACAACTGTGATCACAATAATTCAGAAGTCTATGAAAGGAAGATTCATATACAGCCTCAGCAACTTAGTGAGACCCTGGTGAATTCTTTCTAGAATGTTCACAGTTTACTCTCCCCTGATCTATCAGAGGAATCATATCTATTTCAGCTATAGCCTTATGAGGTGCTATTTCTTAAATAAAACTTAAACATTGAAATTACTTCTTGATACATATATTGCAGAACAGATGTTTTATCAGACATGAAAAAAAATTAGTCTAATTTCACAGCTCAACCAGAGTTCTTGGGTAACCAGGTACAGTGTTCTTTCATTCTTTTTTTAATTTGTTGTTTTTTTTTTTTTTTTTTTTTAGATATACTTGACAGTAGGGTATATTTTGACACATTATACATACATGGGATGCAACCCATTACGTTTTTGATCCCATTCTTATGGTTGTTAATGACAGTAATATTTTGAAAGCAATATTTTTTTCTGAGCAGTAGGTTTTAATTATAGGCTTAAAATATTCAAGAAACTGTGCTAAAACAAGTGTGCACTCATCCAGGTATTGTTGTTCCAATTGTAGAGGATGGGCACAACAGATTTAGGCCCCAGTTCTTACAGGCCCTTGTGTTTTTCTAAATGGTGAATAAAAGTTAAATTGAAATAGATGAACATTGAATCCATCCTGAAGTTGCCAACACTTAAGCCCTAAAAGAGAGTTATCCTTCAAAACTTTGATGCCTCACATTCATTTCTCTGCTCTAGCTATGGAAGCCCTATATGGCCTCTTCTTGCAATATAAGACTGTCTCATCTACATTGAAATTTTTGTTTAATATACCCACCTTCATCAATTTTACTAGCCAGATCATCTGGAAACTTACTACAACTTCTATGGCAATATTTGTTGTTTCACTTTGTACTTTTATCTTTTGGAGACATTTTTTTTTTCCTTAAACTTCATGAACTAACCTCTGCTAACTGCAAATTTTTTTTCTGCACCTTCCTCACCTCTTTCAGTCTTCACAGAATTGAAGAGTTAGAGTCTTGCTATAGATTAGACTTTAATTTAACAGAATATTATAGCTGGTTTGATCTTATATCTAGATCAGCATACAATTTTCTATGTCAACAGTAAGGCTGTTTCATTTTCTGATCATTTATGTGTTAACTGAAGTAACCTATCTAATTTCCTTCAGGAAATTTTCTTTTGCATTGATAATTTGACTTACTGTTTGGCAAAGGAGACAGCTTTTGCCTAATCTCAGCCTATGATTTTCTTTCCTCACTAAGACAGATCATTTCTCAGTTTTTTTTTTTTTTTTTCATGGCTATTCAGGGTTTTAGTTCAGCTGCTGAGGCGGTGAGAAGTTTTCACATCAGACGTACAGGTAGCATTTTACCCACTTTCCTCGATCCAAAGCGACATACAAGTAACAGGCATGCTTCCCGCTGCCATTCGGAACAGGCATAAAAAGGGCAAATCATTTAATTTCCAGAAACAAAGTCCAGCTGCACAGAGCCTTTGCTGTTATTCCCTTGTTCTATGGTTTTCCACCACCCGACAACATTCAGCAAAATGAGTTAAGAGTTATTGGTGTTTGGGGAAGGGCAAAACAAAATAAAACAAAAGGACACAGATGGCAGAGATACACTATTACTGCAAAAGCAGGTGAATGCGGGAACATCCTTGGCTTGCCAGGCTTTATGTGAAGCTTGCATTTTTCTTATCCTTGTCTTTCTTGGTTTGCTGGGCCCCAGACTGCTGGGCCTGGGACTGTAGTAGCTGCGCTGCTGCTTTCTTCTTCTGGAAATTGTTCACCTCGTCCTCGAGCTCCTTCTTCTTGTCTTCCACTTTCTTCTTCTCTTCTTGGTGTGTCCACTTTAGAAGGTCAAACTTCTCGTGGAGCTCTTTCTCTGCCTCTTTAAGTTCAGCCTCTTTCTCCTTCACTCTCATAACAAACATCTGTCTCATCTCTTCTTCTTTCTTCTGCAATTCTCCCAGGAATTCATTCCTTTTTGCTTCATAGGTCTCCTGAAGACTGAAGGGCTTGCTGTCAGGGTCAGTGTCCTTAAATCCCATCTCCTCAAGCTTACAGCGCCGGTACAACTCATAATGGCGGGTGTGTGTCTGTTCTCTCAAGTCTTCCATGTTCACGCGAATCAGCATCTCCCGCAGCTTCACAAAATCACAATGGTTTTCATTCTCAACCTGTACCACGCCCCAGGGGTACTGCCTGGCCTTTGCCATCTTGTTGCCAATCTTCACTTCTTCGGTGCTGCCAACCACTGCGAATGGGAGGTGGACACGCATCGTTGCATTAATCTCTGCCACCGTTTCTTCATCTGTAGGGAACTGGTATATCTGGACGCCATTGCTGACTAGTTCACTCATGATCTTACTTTTAAATTTGTGCAATTCATTCTTGGCAATCGTGTCTGCTTTTGCAATTATTGGAATAATGTTCACCTTACTGTCCAGCTTCTTCATGGTGACCAGGTCCAGAGACTTCAGTGAATGTCCCGTGGGGGCGATAAAGTAGAGGCAGGCGTGAATCCTCGTGTCGTGGTAGTTGAAGAGAGAACGTTTAATCTTCAGTTCCTCTTGCAAGTAGGCCTCAAATTGGGCGTCAATGTATTCCACTATTGGCTTATAGCTGTCATCTTTATTTATCTGGTCTCCAAATCCCACGGTGTCAACAATGGTTAGCTTCAGCCGTACATTGCTTTCCTGAAGCTCATAACTTCTGGCTTTTAACCGGACACCTGGTTCGTTGTGTGTAGCTGGGTCACTTTCAAATTTGGTGTTGAATAAAGTATCCATTAATGTGGATTTGCCAATGCCTGTCTCACCAACACACAGGATGTTGAAACAGAATCCTTGAGAAGTAGACTTGTTGACCAATTGGTCCGGGAGACTGTCAAATCCAACATGGCCAGAAAGGGACAAGTTTCGAAGCTCTTCATTAGACTGTCTCCCCACCGCCATGGCCATCGCGGCTGCGGCTGCGGCTCAGGCTCCGGCTCCGGTTGGGTGCTCTGGAACGACACTCAAGGCTGCAGCTAGCGCCTGGGCTCCGTCTCGCCTCCCCCATTTCTCAGTTTTTATTTAAAGTGAAAGATGTGTGTGTATTCCCTTCACTTGAGCACTTAAAAGTCATTGTAGGGTTATTAATTGGTTTAGTTTAATATAGTTTTATCTGAAATAAATGGAAAGCCTGTGGAGTGGGACAGAGATGAGGAAAGAGAGGCTCAGTGGAGCAGTCAATACACAAAACATCTTAATTAAATTCACTCTCTTAAATGGGTGAGGATCTTGGCACTTCAAAGCAATTTTAATAGTAACATCAAAGACCACTGATGACAGATACCACAACATATAAAATAATAGCTAAAAAGATTGAAATATTCCTAGAATTCCAAAATATGACACAGAAACAGCAAGTGAGCACATGCTTTTGAAAAAAATGGCACCTGTGGTCTTGCTCAATGCAGGTTTGCCAAAATCTTCATTTAAAAAAAAAAAAAACAGTGTTTGTGAAGCACATTAAAAAGGTATGCCTAGGCTGCGTGTGGTATCACACACCAGTAATTCCAGTGACTCTGGAGGCTGAGGCAGGAGGATCACAAGTTCAAGGCAAGCCTTAGCAACTTAGCAAAGTATTAAGCAAATCAGAGAGACCCTGACCCAAAATTAAAAAAAAAAAAATAGTACAGAACCAACTATGGTGCCCTTCAACAGATAAATGGATAATGAAAATGTGGTATACATACATAATGTAATTTTACTTAGCCATAAAGAAAAATGAAATTATGGCATTTGCCAGTAAAAGGGTGGAACTGAAGATTATCATGCTAAGTGAAATAAGCCAATCCCCAAAAAACAACCAAAGGCTGAATGTTCTGTGATATGTGGATGCTAACATACAATAATGGAGGGTGAGGGAAGAGTAGGAGTTCATTATATTAGACAAATGGGAATGAAGGAAAGGGACTGGGAATGGGAATAGGGAAGACAGTAGAACAAATCAGACATAACTTTCCTATGTTCATATATGAACACAACTGGTATAACTCCATATCATTTATAACCACAAGAATGTGATCCTAATTAGAATAAGTTATACTCCATATATGTGTAATATATCAAAATATACTTTACTGTCATGTATGTATACAGAGAACAAATTAAAAAATTAAAAAAAAAACATTAAAAGGGCTGGGCATGCAGCTCAGTGGTTAAACACCCATGGTTCAACCCATGGTTAAAAAAAAAATGTTGTGCCTGTACTTTATTTTGCATGCCACAGAAATGACCAAATTTCCTTGCAGATGTATTATTCTTTTCATAAACTTTCAACACATCTTTCACTTTTGAAAAATCAGCCATAGCCATTTTAAATGACTATAATTTATATATAGTTTCTGTTTTAGTCAAAGTTTTCCTGAATTTCTGCAATCAGATTCTATCCAGAATTCCCATTTTTAACCAAGAACTAGTGTCTCAGAGCCCTGTGGAAAGAGACTGCACCAGATATTTCAGTGTTGACACTTCAAATACTCCTGTGTACTTTTGATGCCATACCTTCAACAACTTTTTTTGGAGGGGTACCAGAGATTGAATTCACGGGCACTCAGCCACTGAGCCACATCTCCAGCCCTATTTTGTATTTTATTTAGTGACAGAGTCTCAGTGAGTTGCTTAGTACCTCAGCTTGCCATTGCTGAGGCTGGCTTTGAACTCACAATCCTCTTGTCTCAGCTTCCCCAGTCACTGGGATTACAGGGGTGCGCCACAGTCTCCTGCTTCAACAACTTTTAATATTATACCAGTGGGTTAAGATTTTTAAAACTCTTTGGTTGAGAAGCAGGTAAGTTCATGAGATTTCTAACTCAAAATCCACAGGATTAGGAATTGCATGGAATGGAATTAATTGATGAAAGTGGATTTCAAATAATTAGAAAAGCAGAAGAGAGTCTTGCAAAGAGTGTTAAATGGATAACTATAAAAGGATAGTTCCAGTTTTAACAGGCTGTGAAAATTGTGGTAATGCTAATTTTCATGCTCATGGTTTTCTCCTTTAGCTCTGAGAATAGGAACAATGAAGGGGAATAGTTAAATTGATCCTAGAGAAGTTTGTTTTTGTTTATATTTTGATCAGCAGTCCCAGACAACTGGGAAAAGAAATTGAAGGAGCTGGTAAGAAAGTGGTTGACTTCATACACTGTAGGGCCTACTTCCATTTATTGTCTACCTCCACACCCAACTCTTATGATTTTGAAGCAGATCTCAGAATTACATATCCCCTATAAAATTTTATTGTTTATTTTTAGAAAATAGAACTATATTCATTATACCAAGATACTATTATCACTCATAAAAATTAATAACTACTTAAAACCACCAAATATACAGTATTAAATTTCTAATTATCTCATAAAAATTATGATATACTTTTAGCAGTTGTTTGAATCAAGATCCAAATAAAGTCCATAGATTGATTCATTAATATATTTCTGGTATCTTTTAATTGGTAGATTTCTGGTTCATTTTTCCATTTTTCACTATATTTATTGAACATTATTGATAAACAAGTAGGTCGTTTATCTCATAGAATTTCCTAATGCAGATTTCATTTTTTGCTCAAACAAGTATTTTCATTTTTTGCTCAAACAAGTATCGTTTGATAAGTTCTTCTCCTCTCTGTATTTCCAGTAAATAGGTTCATGTATCTAAAGACTTGATCAGATTCAATTTCACTTTATTTTCTTAGAGAGGCAGGGATACTGCAATATTGGTGTTACAGTCTTCCTTCAGGGCTATACATTATGTATTTCTGGCTGTCTATCTGTTAGCAGCTCATTATGTTAAATGTGTAAATACATTAATAAATTAGGGTTGCAAAATAGTGATATTCTAATTATAACATTCCTTCTTGGTTTATTATCTGACCTACTTCTACAATGAGAAACTTTACTTCATCTCATATAGATTTTTTTTAGTTACCCTGGGATACATTTTATCAAGGAGAGGCATGGAAAATCTTGATTCTTGCTCTTCCAATTCTCAACATGGATTTGTTTACTATCAGCTTCCAATGGTGACAAATTGTTTATTTTTTAAACTTTCACTATGAGCCTGTTAATTAATGTGTTTCAATCCATGAGAGTTATTATTCTTATGGGTGTTCAAATTGTCTGTCTTTGACCTGTGGAAGTCTGTTAAATTTGGCTACTGAGTCCTTTTGACACAGCTCCCAGTAGTCTAATAATAGCTTTATTATTTCTGGTATGACAAGATGTTCCAGGCTCATCTTGTACATTTCTTGCCCCAAACCTTGAATTTCTCCAAGTAACAGCGCTTTATTTTAGAGGGAATGTTTTTTTTCAAGACCACAACCTAGGTACTAGGAGTGCTCCTTGTTCCTGGGTTGGTCATTATTCCTAGGTATTTTCAGTGAGAATAGCTAAGAATTTATTTTAAAAATAAAATAATTCATAAGTTCATACTGATACTTAATATTCAAATTCCAGACCACAGTTTTAAATTAACTTCTTTGATCTTACATCTGTATCTGTTTTCACCAAAGTTAAGAATCCTAGTTCTCACTCACAAGAAACAATAGAATCAAGATCAAGGTTATTTGCTTTTTTTTTTTTTTTGGTACCAGGGATTGAACTTCGGGGAAATTAACCATTGAGTCACATCCCCAGCATTTTTAAAAAGTTGTCAATGGATCTTTGTTTTATTTTATTTATACGTGGTGCTGAGAATCGAACCCAGTGCCTCACACATCCTAGGTAAGTACTCTACCACTGAGCTATGACCCCAGCCCACATCCCTAGCTTTTTAAAAAAATATTTTATTTAGAGACAGTGTCTGGCTAAGTTGCCTAGGGCTTCACTAAGTTGCTGAAGCTGGCCTTGAATTTAGTACTGCTGCCTCAGCCTTCCAGGCCACTGGGGTTATAGGCATGCATCATTGCACCCAGCAAGGCTATTTGCATTTTTCTGTGAACTAAGAACTTATTTGTCTAGTTCCGTTTTGAATGTGATTGGTCGCTCTGCTCTATTATTAAAATAGCTTACATATTAGTAATGTTAAACCTTTCTTGGTGGTATAGATTTTTTTCTAATTTTGCCATTTGTTTTTGTTTTATAATGAGTATCTTTTCTTACATAAATTTTAAAAATACATAATAAAATTAATCTATCTTTTCCATTATTGTTTCTGAATTTCAAGTCGTATACTCCCAAATTATAATTTAATTTAGCCATATTTCTTCTAGTACATGTATAGTTTCATTTTATATTCTTAAATGTCTAATATCGGTAGAGTTTGCCCTACTGTATAGCTTGAGGAACAGAGACATTTTGTTATCTCTACCATATGGCTATCCAGTTATCCTTTTGCCAATTATTAAGAGGTCCACATTTTCCTTACTGACTTGAGCTTCCATCTGAAACAGAAACTATAGGAACCCTCCTTATATCCCTTTGCTCTTACCACCTTAGTGCATCCAGGATTTCCAGTAACTGAGTTCTTTTAATAACCTGAAAAATCTTTGGATATCAGAACCCAGTCTGCCAACACAAGGCAGGCTGGAAATACTTGGGAATTAATACCCCACACAAGTAGCCCATGATGACTAATAAAACTTGCTAACAAATTAATCTTTAAGTAGGATAACCCTGAGGCATATGTTTTTTTCCAGAATTACAGAGCTGAAGTAAATTCTGAATACACACAGAAGTAATCTGTTTGATAACAAACCTTTAATTGACTGGTTCCCATTTCCTGTTTCCCTTCTGCACTACCTTATTGGTATTTCCTCAGATCACTGCACAAATGAACTGTAATATTTGTCTCAGGATTTCTTTCTAGAAGAATGCAAAATAAGACAATTTTAGCATAAGCTAATTTATATATTTTAATTGGATTTTTTTACTCAGTTCCATTAATCTGCCTATATATTTATGATTCAATGCCATATTATTTTAATTATAGAGGCTTTATAGTGACTGTTTAAAA